GCCAAAATCCGAGTCGCTAAGACCCAATCCCTTGCGAATGCCGACAGTTCAAAAAGCCGAAAATATCGACAAGTGAAAGAATGCCGACAGCTAAAGTAAAACCGACAAATCGATTGGCGATCGAGGAAAATGGGTCTGGCGAAGCTCCAAAATGCCGACAACTCAAAAACCCTGGAATTTCGGGAAATAGGCGGGTAGCCAAAAAAATGCCTACAAATCTGAACGATTTCGTCGGGGCAAGAATGCCCCTAAATAGTAAAATGCCGAAATTCAAGGATCACGGAAGCTGCATCCATAGTAGATTTGATGAGAGAGTGACAGCGAGAGAGAGAGAGAGCGAGAGAGAGAGAAAGAGAAGGAGAGAGAGAGCGTGCGTGAGCGATAGCGAGAGCGAGAGAGTTACTGAGAAGCATGCCTTCTATTTCACGGAATGACGGTCACCTCCTAGGGATTGGAAAAGGCCATCTGTGGCCTGGTATGGCCAAGGATGGCCCGCTCGAGTCCCATTATCCACAGGGGCACCAGATCGGGAGGATGGGTTGCGCAATATAGGAGGGGGGCATTCCCCCTCTACCTCCCCCACCATTACTGCCTTTGTCTACGCAAAAGCTACGCGACGCTACCCATAAACGGTACCCCGAAATGGGGGGTTGGGACAAAGAGGGGTGAACGGATTGGCGCGGTTTGGTGAGCGGAAGGTGTTCAAAGGAAAATGGTTTTTGGATGCAGTTTTGGCTCCACTGCTGCTTTAAAGGGTCATTACGGAGAAGGCAAGCTAGCAAAGATCGTTTGGATCAAAAAATTCCGAGAGAAGTACAAACTGGAATCCAACCAAGGCCCCGACAGCCAAAATCTCGACAACAAGAATGCCGACAGCCAAAATTCCGACAGCAAGAATGCCGACAGCCAAAATTCCGACATATTCTTGGCGCTAAATGGCTGTCGGGATCTGGCCTGCCCGGATTTGGCCAGTCGGGATTTTTGCCCGTTGTGATTTCGGCTAGCGGTATTTTGGCCTGTCGGTATTCTCGGATTTTGGTATGGCGGCATTTTAGCGTTTTCCTAGACGCCCAAGCAAAGATCCATGAGGAATCGGGCCAGGTCTAAACGGCGAGCCAGCAAAGATCATTTAGGAAGAGAGGCAATAAGTCCGGAGGCAAGCTAGAAGTGATGCTTTAGGAAGTGTAAGTGACAGGTCAGGGGCCATGTCACCGGAAACAGAAGCTCCACCCCGTGTCACTGACCCGTCAACGTGTAATGATGGATTATCTGTGGGTTGTTGCGCAAGTCTAGTTGGCTGTTGCAGTGACAGGCGATACTCGCAGGTTTCCCCAAGGGATCACTGCTAGCCTGCCCAGCAGATTATGCTCGTGTAAGTACTTGCAAAGGGCCATGAGAAAAAATTATAAGCAAAAGCTCAACTCCCGCTAACAGCTTCTCTCAAAGATTTTCTGCTAGCCTGCCCCGAAATCACGTTTTAAAGGACTAGTGAAGGAGAAAGATTAATGTTCTAGGATTTTCCTAAAGAATCTTTGCTAGCTTATCCTTGAGTAAGCGAAATTGCCATGTCCTTTAAAGCCCATTAAAGCAAAAAAACCAACTAAATTTCATGTCAAAAACAGACGCTAAAAATCTCGAAAAAATGGCTGCCTATGTGAGTTTGCAACCGGGGAATCCATTTTTTCCGATCGGGGCCGTCGATCGTATCGGCACGGAAAAACGCGGCCACCGAGAGGAAGAGAGCTGGAAGAGGTGGAGGTCGTTGCTTAGCTCTCTCTTTCTCTCTCTCTCTCTCTCTCTCTCTCTCTCTCTCACTCACATCGGCTTCCTCCTATTCTTCATTTCTGCCCCATTTGGGGGATGGCCTCTAATTGCTTGGGTGGCTAGGGGGATACAGATTTCAATCTCCGCCCGGTCTGGTATGCAAAAATGGCTGTGATGCCTAAAAGGCACTAAATTCAGCTTTCCCCGCTGAGAGAGACAGCGAGAGAAAGAGAGTGAGAGAGAGAGATAGAGAGAGAGAGAGAGGGAGAGTGATAGAGAGTGGGACGAAACAGGTGAGTGAGTGAGCAAGAGATAGAAATGGATTGAGATCGAGATAGAGCACGAGCTATAGCGAGAGAAACGGACCGACAGACTATCGCGAATTGCTACAGGATTTCTGCTAGCCCGCCCGCGTTCGGATTAGACAATTTTGAAACAGAGAGCGAGAGAGAGAGAGAGAGAGAGAGAGACAGACATAGAGAGATGAGAGAGACAGAGAGAGATAGAGAACCCCCAATAAACTCAACCCCAACAATAAAACCCATTCAAGCAAGTGGATGGCTCGATTTCCGGGGCATTACCGTCTCCCCAATGGGGTGTGCTGAATTGGTGGTGTGTCGTTGGCCCATTCATGGTTCCCAGCACCCCGAGTCATCGCCCCTCACCCCGAATCGTGGGCGCGTAGTATCATTCCGCATAAAATACGCCCCGAAAAAACACAGCCGACGGCCAGGTCACGCAATGGGGGTGATGGGAAAATGGGCACATGGATGTAGGAATGGTGGAAACAAGGATGATTGGGCCGAGAGAGCGAGAGTGAGAAAGAGAGCGAGATAGCGGGAGTGAGAGAGAGTGAGAGAGATAGATAGCAATGTAGAACTCGAGCTGTCCGTAAAGATCTCTGCTAGCTTACCTCACTCCCTGCCTCGCACAGCCTAGCAGAACCATTGAGAGCATAAGAAAAACCTTCGACGGTAAAACTAGCCATCCCGAAATGTTTTTGCTAAAGTACTCAAGAGAATAAGAAAGAGAGAGCGAGAGGGAGAGAGAGTGAGGGAGAGAGAGAGACACAGAGAGGGAGAGAGAGAGCGAGAGAGAGAGAAAGAGAGAGAGAGAGAGAGAGAGAGAGAGAACGACAGCGAGAGCAACGAGAGAAACAAGTCAGCTCTTTTCCGTTCAAAATTTTTATGTGTAACAAATTTACATAAACCTTAATAGAGTCACAGCACATATGAACAAATTGATGAGAGCAGTAAATACCAAAAAATTTTCTCTAGAATTGCAGTTGATGATGTTGTGCTGGTGGAAGAGGAGGAGGAAGAGAACAGCTGGTGGTGAGGGTGTGGAGGGGGATTGGTGGGTGCCGGGGAGGACCATGGCTTGGCCCTCACTATCTCTCGCCTCTCCCCACTTGCCCACTCTTTCGCCGAGAGGGACTGTGGGCAGAGGGACTGACCTCCGATCGATGTCCTCAGGGCACGCACCACACACCAACCCCGACCATGGCAGCACCCTCTAGGGAGGGAAAACGAAAGGGGGGACCGGATGTGGATGGGGGTGGTGAGGATTAAAGGGACTGGAGAGGAAGGGTATACGTTAAGTGGTTACAGTATGCCCAGCTTGCAAATGTCTTTAAATGCGAAAACGTAAAAATCCCCACAACCGAAATCCGCAAAGGTCAAAATCCCGACACCCAAAATCTCGAGAGGTAATATCCCGACAAGCTAAAATCCCGGTAGCCCAAAATCCCGACAACCGAAATCCCCACAGCCAAAGTCCCGCCTAAAAAGACCGACAACCAAATTCCAGAGAAACCAAAATCCCGACAACCAAAACCCAGACATGTAAAATTGTTTAAAAGGGCTAGCGAGCCGTACCAACGACTAAAATAACACCGGAAATTTGTCGGGATTCTGGCTTGTCGGGATTTTCAGTTGGTATTCTTTTTCAGCCTCCAAAGAAGGCAAACTAGCAGGGTTTCTTCTGGAAAAAGGACATAATCGATTGCACTGTAGAAAGTCCATAAAACATTAGGAACTCAATTAGCATACTAAATCCATAGCCATGTCATTTCTTGAAGATTTCTTGAAGATCCGCATTTTCGCCTACATCCTCTCAAGAAGTTGGGTGAAAAAGCCGAGGTCATCCTGGCACTTCACACATACCGTCGGCCGTTATGCAAAGTCATTGATGCGTGAATGCCGTCACACGGTCTCTCTCTCTCTCTCCCTCTCTCTCTCTCTCTCTCTCTCTTTCGTTCTCTCTCTTTCTCTCTCTCTCTCTCTCTCTTTCTCCCCGTCATTCTGCCAATACACAAATACCCCCAGGGCATCTCGGGCCACGATCTCCATCTAGCGGCCAAGATCAAAGACAGTCCCCCGCTTCACTCTCTCTCCATTCACGCGCTCTCTCGCCAGTATTGGGTCATACTCGAGCCATCGCTTGGGTGCAATTAGGGCCACATACGCAACAGTACCCCCAAGGCACACGGGTCATGGGTTTCCAAGAGCTGTCCCAAATGGGTACTGCTAGCTTGCCAAGATATTTTTAAGGTTCAAACACTTTTGATCTGCAAGTGATGACAGAAATATTTTGGCGTATTCGGTATAATACCAGTTTTTCAAGGCACATGGAAGTCAGGGATGCCGGAAATTCGATCTTACCGAAGGAAAATTATCAGCTTACAAGGGAAAGGCCGAAAGTGAAGTGTAGTGAGTAAAGTGAAGGTCGCATTTCGAAATGAGGCCAAGCCCACCTTGTACAAAATTTTGAACTGACCACGAGTCTGTTTTAGATTGCCCGAAATGGCCATATTTACGAAGCTACAGTACATATTCTGGCGCGAAATTCCCGAAAATTCCGGACTTTAGAGGTCCTTTAAAACGCCATAGAATATGATTTTTGCAAAACTTAATTAGCGCATCGAGCTCAGAAAAAGCGCTCTTTCGAATGAACCCCCTAAAGCTATCAAAAATTTCCCTGGTTTGGCCTGAAATTCTTTTTTTGCCGGCCACAGACACGCTAGATACGATAAAACAATTTTCACCAATTCTCAGCGAAATATTCGCCAAGCTGACCTGAGGATTCCACGGATCTCGAGACGATCCCTCGCACCCATCTCGCCGATAAATCAGCCCATAATACCGTAGTTTTTGCCGGCCGTTTTTCTTGGGCTGACCCTCCGTCGAAAGGACAGTTCCGTATTCAAACGTCAGCTCGACCCTCAGATTCCCCGGATGAACTGTCGAAATTTGACAAAGAGTTGCAGCCCCACCTACCGGTGCATTCTATACAACATCCTGATTCTGGGCTCATTTCTACGGCTGTGCTGGATTTATAGGTAACGAAAAAATTACTTTTTTATTGGTGGTTTACTTAACGATTGCTTTAAAAAATTTTTCAATATGAAAAATGACAAAATAGGTAAAACTAATTTTTCAAAAATTTTAATTGGTTTGTAAAATTTTTTGCTAGCAATCAAATTAATCAAACATTTTAGCTAGATTTTCCCCCAATAAAAACTACTGAACATACTAGAAAAACACCTTAGATGTTATTAAAATGCAGGTATACGCGGAAAATTCACAATTAATTACCCCCACCCCCGCTAACAGTGAATAACCTGATTCCTACCGTATTCGGTACCTTAACTACGGCGTCCTTACCGTATTCCTAAATCCGAAAAAGTAACTAGAAGTTAGCACGGAATTCACGAACTTATTCTGAGCGCAAAAGTAAATCCCTACACGTTAAAACCTGCTCTTCACCGCCCGATCTTCGCCCCCGGCCCAATAAATCGCCTGCCGAATTTTTGATCCATTGCCACAAGGAGATCGGGCGTGGATCGGAGTTGGCGATTTTGTGCCTTTCCCACGCCGAAAGGTGGTTTTGGCCTTTTCTTGCAGCCTGACTATTCCCATTTTTCACCCATTAACCCCCTAAGCACATTAGCCCATACCAAAAGTCCGATCTCCCGCCCCAAAATGGCAATAAATCCGGGATTAGAGCATGGGCGGCACGTGGGTTCGAGGTGGAAGCTGTCATTACGGCTGGCCGCAAGCTGAGCCTTAGCCAATTTAAGCTGAGCCTAAGCCTAAGCCTAAACCTAAGCTTCAGTCTAAGCCAGGCCTAAGCCTAAGCCTAAGCCTAAGCCTACGCTACAGTCTAGGCCTAAGCCTAAGCTTCAGCCTAAGCCAGGCCTAAGCCTAAGCCTAAGCCTAAGCCTAAGCCTAAGCCTAAGCCTAAGCCTAAGCCAAGCCTAAGCCAGGCCGCAGCCTAATAAGCCCAAGCCTTAAAAAATGGAGATCCGCCCAACAATGTTAGCCACCGAATATTCGCTACTAGTCCTACTGTGCTTTGCCACCTACCACAAGCTGCTCGTTGTCCATAGGTGCGTATCGTACTAAAGGAGAGCGACGCCCCAGATGCCATTGGTTTCCGATCGGATTCTAACGCTTTTTTCATGGTTTGCACGGCGCGATGCGAAAATGGGTCTTTGAAAGAAAGTCTTTAGAAGAAAAAAATCTACATGATTCTGCTCAGCTCGCAAGTCCTAATTTTTTCAGGTACGAACAGCTGAAGATCGAGCTGGAGATTCAGCGGCTAGAACAACGGTATCACGATTTCCGGTAGGCGCCTAGAATTCTACGAGTGGTAGATTAACTTATAGTATTGTATTTGAGTTTTCTGCCTGGCGGTAGCTTAACCTATACTAACAGATACTGTATAATCGTCACAATTTAGTAAATTGGGCGCAAAAATAGATGATGTGCGGGCGGAGCTGATGGACAATGGGGGAACAAAGGCGATTGTCAAGCCGTTCGCGACGATGTATCCGGAATACTTGGTAAGAGAGAGAGAGAGAGAGAGAGAGAGAGAGGGAGAGAGCGAGAGAGGCAGAGGGAGGCAGAGAGATAACCATTTTCAGGTATCGACTAGACATCGTCTTTCCATCTGCTTAATCCCAAAAAACATGTCAACCCTGATGACCCGAATTTTTTGCCTGCTGAATCGATCCCTTGAAAAGGGCATGCAAAATCGAAAACTTACCGAATCGATGGAGAGGCGGGTTTTGAAGTCTACACATGTTTAGCTATGAACTAATTTTGACTAATTCAGGTATTTTTAGAGACTGTGCCCTCCCGATTCGCTACAGTACCCTCGTGCAAGTTCAGGCCCGGATTTCCGGCGATACCGCTCGCCAGAACTTGATTCTCACCCGAGAGCCGATGGAACGTTTCCTGTCGGCTTTTCTGATGCTTTGTATTGTGTGGGTTTTCAGAGGAATTAACAAAAATACTGATGAATTCCAGAAATCACACTTTCTTTTTACCAAATTCTGTGCCAAAGTTATTTAAAAAATCAAAAACGCTGTAAAATCTTTTTTAAGGGTTTAAAAAATTGTCTGCCTCTCAAAATTATCTTAAAAAATCTCTAGCAATTACTTTCGAGCCCATAAAAATAGCCTGACTTTAAAATCCTAGCAAAAACCCTTCAAATTTGGTATAGTCGAAAATTCGAAAAATTCCGTTAAAATACGCTAAAAACGGTTCCGCAACCGCCCAATTTCCACTATCTCTGCTTTGTGTGAATTTCCCCTTCCCCCTAGCTGTCAGCAGAAAAAGGAAGGGAACGGCCCGGGGGGTGTGTGGTCACCAGAGACCCCCTCTATGTGCGCTCCCCGCATGCTCTCTCACCCATCCCCACTCGCCCCCCGCCTGGTCCTCTCTGCGAACAGATCTTCCCCACCGCGGCCCCTCATAAACTTACCTGGCTGGGAGGTTCCCGTGATCAACAAGACGGGACCTCTATGGCGAGGCTCGGCCATTGCACTTTCGGCCGGGCTGACCTGTAAGGCAGCTCCGAGTTGGGGTTCGCCTACAGCTAAATTTTTGCGTGGGGGGCTGCGTTCGCGCGGCCCTGACAATCTTTGTTTGCAAGGATCGGGAGGAATTTTGATGTAGCGATAAACAAATTATGGCAGATAAATCGCGAATAACACGCTGGTATTGGGCCAATCGGGATGGCAAGTGAAGGCATAGCTCCAATTTCTCAAAATTTTTGAAACCAGAACAGATTCTCGTACATTTTTGGAAAAATTGCGGAGAAATAGCTCATTCACACGGGCAGGTTTTATTCAGCATCTTGTGCGAATCGGTCTTTTTTTTCTGATTTCTACACATTCCAAACCAGGATATTTTGGGAGTTTTTGAGCTAAACAGCGTTTTAACTTTTTCAAATTCACCACAAAATCCTGCACAAAACATGCCTAGTGCCGACCCAAAATCATTTCAAAGCATCTCCTTGTAAAGGACAGCCACGAGAGGCGCTTTTTGTAATAGATACAGCACCGAGTAGAGTACCTTATTTGCCTAGTAACTAGGGAAAAAAATCACCAAATTTGCGTGAAAGCTTCATTAGACTTATCAACTTTCCAGACGACTGGATGACTGCTTCGGCTGCTACAAAAACATGGAATGTGTCTCGGAGATGCTACTCATCCACTCTCAAAGATACGCATCAGGAGATCATAGCGTTGAGGGGAATGCCCTCTGGCATATGGCGCCTCAGAATTGGTATGCGGAAAATATAGCGCATTTATTCGCTACAAAATACGATGTTAGGCCACGTAAACCATTACTTACGATTTTTTAGGCATTGCAATCTGCAGGGAGCCACGCAGGAATATGAGTATCTAGATTATTCCCCGTTACAGGGAAGGAAATTTTCTGAAAAATTGAAAGTTCGTTTGGAGAAGGCAAATGTTGAAAACAGCACCGTATCCAAAATTATTGAGGTGAGTGTTAGGCTTGGCTTCGGCGTTGCTTAGGCTTGGCTTCGGCTTGGCTTAGGTTTAGCTTCGGCTTGGCTTAGGTTTGGCTTGGGCTTGGCTTGTGCTTAAGCTAACTACGCCTCCAAGAATAGCATTTAGGATATGGGCAACAATTTCACCGGCCACCAAACAATTCTCGAGCCTCAGCGAAATTACTATGCGGAAAAGGTATCGAAAACTTCGAGATTAAATGAACAATTTCTTTCTTTTTCAGCTCCTCAACTCGAAAAAGATACGCCGGAATTTGTTGTACGTGTATTTCTATGATTACGTGCTTTTTGGATACGAATTTCCGGACGTTTATTAACGGGAAAGGCAGCACCAACTGTACTTTTGAAGCATAATACAACAGAACAGTAATCATAATAAAAAGTGGGGATTATGCAAAAAAAAAACCCATTAAATGCAATCAGCACATGCCACACGTATGCGGGCACAACACCTTGTACTTGTCCATGAAGCACCAATTGTGATAGGTCGGGCAGGCCTCATGTTGATTTGCGCAATTTGAGGGATCATCTGAGAGTTATTAATGTAAGGGAATTTTATAAGTTTGAAGAGCTCTTTCTAGAGGCTTTGTACCCTAATTTACCAAAAAAATTACATGTTGGAATGGCCATCGTCGGCGGCGCGCATTTATGACACGTCATCGGGCAATCCGAATCTACCGCCGGCATCGAGCAGAGATTCTGAAGCAGAATTTCTAGTCTTTGGAGTGATGAGAAAGAGAGAGCGAGAGAGGGAGAGGGAGAGAGAGAGAGAGAGGGGGAGAGATAACTAAAAAACGAACCGCCATAAATCGACAACGCCCGTCATCGCTTTTCGGGCAAATGTTGAAAGGCTTCACCGGCTCGAAGTTTGGCAGTGCAACGCTGTGGAGGTACTAAAATTCGCAAAATTCATTTCAGAAATAGTCAACATTCTTTTATTCATTTTTCGTGCTTTGAGCGCTTATCTGGCCTTTAAAATTCGGCGTTCCTGCCGAAATCGCCAGATTTGCCGGCCTTATCAAGATTTTGTGGCAATGAGGAAAGGTAAAAAATTGGCTGCGTACGAATCAGAAAAATAAGACTTAAAATTGAATTTAAAAGCTGTAAAACTGTCGTCTAAATGGTTTTTTAGATTATCCACCCCTACCGTAATCATAAAGGCAGCAAAACACAACAGAACCCGCGAAATAGCCATATTCTTAAAGCCGTTGGTCGGGGCAAAAACGGAAAAGTGGCTTTGCAGTCGGCTTCATCCTTCCCGGGCGAAGCCTGCCTATAAACATTCGGCGCTACTTAAGTTTGCTGGCCCCACCTATATTTCGCCAAAACCTCATGTTTCCGGGCTAGTTTTTGCGCTGATTACGAAAAATACTATCCCGAATCGTGAAAGTTGTGTTTTGAAGGGAAAAACAAATTTCATTGTCAGTTTTCATGGTTTGAGTTTCAAGGGGTTAACTAGGGCGTTGAAGTGGGAGCCCTATAAAATGGGGAAAACCCTATTTCCAAGAAGGCTTATCCTTTGCGTTCGTTTTTTCCTAAAAATAAGGCTTCGTGCCACCCGGGGCCTAGTCGCTTCGGATGGGTGCGAGCTCGTACAGGGTTTCGAAATCGGGGCGCCCGAGGCGCGCGCAGCGGCCAGGCGCCCCGATTTCGAAAGAGTGGAGCGGCAGCCCATCCGAAGCGACGGCCTGCCTTGCCTGACAATGCTACAAGCTTATTTTTTCTTGGTAAACCAGTTTTTGGTTATTTATTTAGTTAAAAACCCACAAAAATACGAGTTCTTCGCAAGCGCCGTAAAATGGAATTTTCCCGATATTCAAATTAATTTTTTCCTAAATAGCATTTTCGCGGGCTAGGATATTGTTTTTCGTAATAAGCGCAAAAAACTAGCCCGGAAACATGAGGTTTTGGCGAGATATCAGTGGGGCCAGCAAACTTAAGTAGCGCCAAACATTCATCTAATCAGCTGTTTTAGGTCCGCTGCCAAGCACCATCACCGCACAAATAAATTGTGGGTAAACAATTTTAACGGTATTCGCATGACCCCGACACGCCGTGTTTTTTAGTAACACGCGGAAAAACAGGGTGCTTCTTTGTCAAATCGAGGTCTTATCCAGGGAAGATTTGATAAAAACGCGTTTCATAAATTGGTAAATTTGGTTAAATGAATTGTCGGTTTTATAAACTTTTAAAGGGCACGTTCAGGGACGTTTTTTGGAAAAAAGCAAAGATTTTTGCCGCGGCCAGGGGTCGAACCCGGGCCCTCCGCTCGGGAGGCGCGGATGGATACCAGTCAGACACAGCTACAACCTGGCGGGGGGCGAGGGGCGCCCCAGGCCGCAAAGGAGGGGAATGGCCTGTCACAGCACGGGCAGGCAGTGCGCGCGGTCCCTACGTCCATAGGGTGTATACGTTGGATCGAGTATACGGCCCCTCCCTGAACGTGCGCTTTAAAGCAAGCTCTTGCGAAGAGAGAGAGACGATCTAAAACGCGTGCACACAGGGAAGATGTCCAGTGCAGCCAAGCGTAGCTGACTCTGGGCAACGCGCCACTCCAATTGACGGGCTAGTTCTGTGATCACTATCCAGTGAAATCCAAGAAGAATGAAAAGGAACAAAGTCCTCTTTGCAGGCTCTATTAATGCATACAGTAAATAAAAACCAACACCCATCGATCACACATCGGTTTTTCTCAACAAACGTCACAAACGCATGAACAAGCAATTTTTATTTTCCATTTCCTGGATTGATAATCCAGTCGATTATCTCTTCAGGGACTTGATGAAACTTCCCAATTTACCGCGAGCATGTACACCCCGTTCTATCATGTCGCCACCTGCAAAATAGAGATCCTTCGCAGGTTTCGCGCCGCTGCCGCATTTTATTTACATGGCTACAGATACTTTCCCAATACATGTTTTCGCCAAATCTCTTGGGTGGACGCGGAATGCACTCTCGACGCGACGGCTCCCGTGCCTGAATAAAATACGCCCAGAAACCCGGGGCGCGGGTTCTATGATTTTGTAGCAAAGTTTGTATCATAGATCGGTCCGGCTTTTCTTTTATTAGGTATTCGCTTTGAAATCCAAAATTTTAACATGAGAATTCTGTTATTCCGGACCTTCGTCGGTGCAAAAAGGTGAATTTTAATTTCTAAATCCTCCTAAAACTTCAACATTAAAGCCGCTTCATGGCTTCATTTTTTTGCATTCTTCCATCTCCAGAAAATTAGGCCCAAATTTCGAAATTCTCCCTTTCACCCGGGCCCCTCTCTGTTGACGTGCTCCCTTTCACGTGGCTGACCCGTCTCTCCCTCTCTTGTCCCTTTCTCTATCTCTCCCATGTCTCCTATCTCTAGCCCTCGCCTTTGCTAAATACCTCCTTTTGCACGGCGCTCCTATTCACCACCCATTTCCCACAGCATCTATAATAGAAATTCTTTTTTTTTAACTTATTGTTTTGAGCCAGAATTAGGAACCCGAAAAATCCTGTCTTTAATTCTATCCGCAAAAAGCCGCCATCCCCGGCTTCCGGTCGGTCCCCCAACCGGAAGCCGTCTTTTCAGAGGCTTTTCATCGACTCCATTAATGCCCCAGGCTCGACGATGATTATTTTCGGTTCATGTGAACCCAAAAGTTTTGGAAAGCATCACTAGCTTACCGCTAATCCCCCGCCCGTTTGTTCCAGGATTAGAAAAGCGCATCATTTTGAGGTAATACCTTGTCCCTTCAAAGTCCTCGAAACTTCCCAAAAAAAATTCCAATAATTCCTGAAATTTTAGAAAGGTTTTCTGCCCAAAGTTTAGAAAGCCCGAATTTAATTAAACGCTTTTTATTAAGAAGACCCTAAAACCCTACCAATTTATTACTTTTTTAAACTTATTATCAGTTTACCGGCAAGCGACGACCTAGTTTTCATCATCCCCTGAAAAGTAAGCAGGAGATCCGCCCCCATGCCCGCTGGAATTCCGGCAATTTGCTGTAAAACTGACAAACTGCCCGTAGATTGCAGCAATCAGTGCCACGAGAGTTGTGACACTTTTTTCTCGTTTCCGCCATATGATTTCCGTAGAGAGTTGTTGTTTATAAGCGGATCCCGTTTGCCCAAGAAGAAATTGCAGTAAAACTGGTTAGTCTGTGCGTGCAGAGTATCGTCTAGGCGACCACACCAGCTTCCTCTGCACAGCTCAAACTTTTGCGCTGTACATTTTTGAAGTTTTGCCTTTTTTAGTTAAATTTTTACGCCGTTTTCGTGCAAAAAACTCGCAAAGATTAGTTATTGGTTTGAAGGCCCCCAATATGTTGTCACCTTCCGCAAAGAACCGATCAACTGCGCTGGTGAACTCGGAAAGCACCTCTATTTGCACGGCTGCTGTGGCCCGGGTGCTTCGAAGGTCTCGGTCTGCTCGTCCTTTTCCTTCCATATGGCCTCATTTTTCGGGTTTCCGCCAGCCGACCCTGGGCTTGGGTGCAGCTGACTTTCGCTCTACCCCGTTGCCCGTCATTTGCGATAGTATTGCCCTGCAACAGCCCTCGGGGCCTATCAGTAAATCCATAAAAACAAAAAGAGCCTTGCGATCGTGTGGGAAAACCCACTAATTTTTCGTATAGCGGATTAATCGGTGATTTGCGCTGGCAAGGGTTGGGGGCTCGCGATTAAAAGTGGCAAGGGGAAGCTAATGAAGCCTTTGGAGCGTATAACAAACCTTAGGACGCGCATTTAATTGTACAATTTTTTGACTATCCGCCCCGTTCGCTTAGAACTGGTTGCTAAGCAGGCAGGATTTGCCTGCCAAAAGCTTCGCGGGTTAGGAAGCGTTTCCCGTCGATTTTCTTAAATTTCTTTTTTTTTTTCTTGGAGACCTTGAATTATTTATAAGGCTCTTTTCCAGGTGAAATCGTATGGCATCTTCGAGCCTGCGCACCTTGGCTGACCGAGTGGCTGTTGTGACCGCTTCGACAAAGGTAGCTTATCTTCTATTTTTCTTTTATTTTGATTTTTCAAGGGGATTGGATTTGCTATCGCGAGACGACTTGGCCTCGATGGAGCTTCGGTGGTGGTCAGCAGCCGAAAAGAGAAAAACGTGGAGGTATGGTTCTTGAACTGATCCGCTTCCGGTCTTGCCTTTTGATCTCAAGGCGCGGCACGATGACCAGTCGTTTTGACGAACAATCGTATAGCCATAGCCGAAGTATCAAGACCATTCCATGTGAGCCGGCACCTTTGATTTTTTCCAAATATCTAAAAGTATCTGTGATTTAAGGCGTACGCAATAGCTTTAGAGGTACCGTCTTTTAAATATAAGCATTTCAGG